CACAATTTAAATAGAACAATATATACATATATATATGTTTATATATATAAATTTATATATTTATATGTATAAATATATACTTATATATAAATAATTTATATATTCATATATATAAATTTAAAAGTCTACTATTCATTTGTTTAAAGATGCATTTTGGCAAAATGGAGTAAGACTCAAATCAGATGGTTTGGAACTAGGACTTGCTAGGACTTTTGCTGCCCAACCATGGAAGGTGGTAAGTCACTTAACTTCTCATGCTTTGAGTTTTTTATTCTATAAAATGTGGAAGATGTGCCACTATGCTCCCTCCTATTTTTTTAAATTTATATCTTTCACTTATATTAATTAGTAAAAATCATCATAGTTGGTTTTAGCATTTAATGTCTGCTTTGTTTCCCTTCAGTTTAGCCTTAGTTACAAAGAACAACAATCCCATTTACAAAAGAGCTAAATTGTAGTACCATAAATCTTTGCTTATGAAAGCTGTGATATTGTTATGTGGATTTCTGGCAATGTGTAAAATGTTATTAATGCCTAGTGAGCATCTGTCTGACTATAATGGGAAATTGATGAATGGGAGGAATTGGAGTTAGGATCACATAGTTAAACTGAGACACATGAATGACATCTAAGAGTTTGAGATTCATTTTATGGGCAGTAGGACTCAATGGGAGAATTTAGTGAAATTTGTGTTTTAGGAAGCTAATCTGATAGAGTTATGAGGACTGGAATGTAATGGGGAAGAATGAAGCAGATGTCCTAGCCTGAATTCTTGTGATTTTCAAAATATGAGATAATAAGGGTCTGGTTTATTATGGTTGCAATGAAAAAGGACAATATGGGAAAGAGTCAAGAGACACTGGGAAAGAAAGCCAATGGGGACATAGTTCCTGATAAGCTATGATGAATGAAGAAGAGAGAAACAAAACCTGAAAAGTTGAGGAGACTAGAAGAAGGTCATTGACTGAAATAGAGAAGGTTGGACATGTTGTCACTGCAGAAAAGATGTTGGGCATAGTTTAAGGGAAGATGCTTCACCACAGGGGCATGGGAGGTCTTCAAGACCCTCCTGCTACCACATCACTACTTCCAAGACACCCAAGCCTTGATCTTGTGGTAGACAGCAGTAACAGCTTGTGAACGAGGCCCCTAGGAGCTTATTGCATTGCAGGTGATGATTAGAAATGTTCAGAGGAAATGGTACTGGCAAAGTCTTCTAAGGGGAAACAAAACCATGAAGGTGGACAAAATGGTTAAGCAACTGAGTAGATAATTACTCTGATCTACAAACCAAAGAAACAGATAGAAGTTTTCTCTAAATAATTTTGGTTTAGGTTATAGTCATATAGCAGTTTCATTACCATAGGATCTTTTATATGGATCATCTACATATTAATTTAGATTTGGAAAATTGAAGAAAGTAATCAGCAAAACTTGGCTATTTCAATTTCACAACAGATACTTTAGAAAAAGCAGGAAAAATGAGTATATGTTTGTAAAGAGATCAGTATCAGGGATTGAACTCAGGGGCACTCAACCACTGAGCCACATCCCCAGTTGTATTTTGTATTTTATTTAGAAACAGGGTCTCACTGAATTGCTTATTGCCTCACTTTTGCTGAGGCTGCCTTTTAACTCACAATCTTCCAGCTTCACCCTCCTGAGCTACTGGGATTACAGGCGTGTGCCACTATGCCTGGCTGCAATAAATTATTGATGAGATATTTGAAGGAATAAGACTCAGTACAAGGTAACATTTTAAACATGGTTTAGGAGTACTGCCATCTTATGGGAAAAAAACTGACACCTGGCCCAGAGCATTTGCTGCTGGTCACCAGCCACTGTAGCTTCCATCAGCCTGTGAGCATGGGGACTACCTTTGCAAATCTCTTCAAGGGCCTTTTGGTAAAAAAGAAATGTGCATCCTCATGGTGGGTCTGGATGCTGGAGGGAAGATGACAATTATGTACCAACTGAAGCTTGGTGAAATCGTGACCACCATTCTCACCTAGTTTTTCATGTGAAGACCAATAAGTACTAGAACACCAGCTTCACCACGGGGGCATGTGAGGTCTGCAAGACCCTCCTGCTACCACATTACTACTTCCAGGATACCCAAGGCTTGATCTTGTGGTAGACAGCAATGACAACTTGTGAATGAGGCCCACAGGAGCTCCTGAGAGTGCGCCAAAAATAAGCTAGGCTACTAGTGTTTGCCAACATTGTCATGGATGCAGCTTTAGCTACAGGTTTTAAATGTAAATAGTGGGTTTCCACTCAGGCAGTTTCTGATACTCTTATGCGATATTACTCAATTTTGTGCTTTTTTTTTAATTATAAAAAGATAATTGACTCACTGTCAGTGCTGAGAAGGGATTTAGACATGTGAACACCTGGCATCCTGGAGCTCCTGGGCTACAGATTGGTGTTGGGATCCATTTGGTGGTTGATTTTTAACCCCAACCCAGTACATTTTTAAAAAGTTAAAAGTACAAGATAAGGAGAACACTTGAACACACAGAAGAGAGACTACGCCTCCTGTGTACATCCTGAATTTCAAACTCAGATTTCTAAGGGTAACATTACTTCTTGGATGTCTAATTTTTATGTCTAAGCTGTATCAAAAACTGAATTCTTGATCTTCAAATTTGCCCTCCTCCAAGTTACTGGCAATTACATCACTTTAGTAGCTCAGACCACAAAACACCAGAGTCATCCTTGACTCTTCTTTTCTCAAACCTCACATTCAATCTACAACTTCTATGGCACTGTTAGTTCTACATTCAGAATCTGATCCTATATCATTGCTTCTACTACTACTACTACACTATGGTTCAAACTTCCATTATCTCTTGTTTGAATTATTGCAATAAGAACAAAACATATCCCTCAGAGTCTTTTTTCCTAATAGTTTTCAGATGTCCTTTAATAATATAAGTCAGGTCAGGTCACTTATCTGCTAAGAATTTTTCAATGGCTCCTGATCTCACTCAGTAAAAGCCAAAGTTCTTACAATAACCTCCAGAATTATACAGGATCTGGCCCTGTTTCTTCTCTGTTCTACTATTTTCCTCCTTGCTTACTCCACTATACCCACCCTTGCCTCCTGCTTTTCCTTTAATATATCAGTCATACTCTAACTTAGGGCCTTTGGATTTGCTCTTCCCTCACTTATCTCCAGGGCTCTTTCATCTTTTCCAAGTTCTTTATGAAATATTAGCATCTTTTTAGGGAATGACTTGAGAGAATGAATGATGTGTCATGACACAAATATATGAATGGTATAACATGGTATGAATGAACAGATGCTATAAATAAGACTTAGAGCACCAATTTTACATGCTTCCTCTTTTAATGGAAGTCAACACACAACTTTCAATATTCATTGAGCACCCATTACATGTAAAACAATGTATTTGGTTGATTGCTATTAGTGAAGGGAAATATTGAAATAAACTTGTTGCTTTAGCAGATGTTCTTGAATATTTTCAAGACACACTAGAACAAATAGTTGACTTCCTCAGCCACTGAGAAAGCAGTATTCATTAACAAAAAGGAATATCTATCAAATATCCTGGGGCTTCCTCCATCTAGGCAATCAGAATCTACAAACACAATCTTTTAGTCCAGGCAGTATTTAAATCTCTGCACTGTTTGAAATATGACCGAGTAAATAACTTTTTTTTTGTATCAATTCTTTGTTCCCTATGGTAAATTGTCTAACCTCATCCAATTCTCAATTCAGGTTGAGATAACAGGGCAATCAATATACCCTTGGGTGTTACAAGTTGGCAATGGGGGAACTTGAGAAAACAAAATCTTAAAATTTATAAATTTTAAAAATTAGGACTATTGCAGACTAGCTCTGTTTATGTACATTTAAGTTCTTTAAATTCTCCTTTTTTCTTTTTTAAATCCAACTTTCACTTCACACTACTTCTATGATTGAACTCATGATTCAAAAAAGGAGAAACTATCAACCTGAGACAATGCAATGTGTAGTTCACCCTAGGAATGGATTTGAGGTTTGGAGAGTACAGAGAAAAACAGAAGGATTAAGGGATCAGGTGAAGAGTAATGCTCAGTTTATAAACACGTTTCATTTCAAGCCAACAAGTGTCTCTTGCATGCAAAGCCGTAGGCTCATCATTTCAGTAATAATGTCAAGACTCAGGATAAGTCTCTGCCATCAAGAAACTGGGAGTCCTGGAGTATTATTTAAAACATGCAGAGTATGTGAAGAAACTACAAGGAGAGAGAGAAAAAAAAAAAAACCTGACATTAAGTCAGATGTTTTAGTATACCAGGGGCAGTCAAGTACACCAACAACCCTTCCAAAAATTTCAGGTAAGGTCAGACATGATAGGTAACTTGTTTTAAGTCATTAAAGCTAGAAAGTTAATATAGATCGGCTTTGTTTCCTGCCTATTTTTCCAAGTTCAGGCTTCTTTCAGAACACTGTTGATGAACGGACGCCCCTAAGAGGTGTGCGAGGGGAGTAAATTTTGACTGGAAACGTCCCAGTCACCCTGCAAAGAACAAAGAAATCAGAGCTATCTGGGGGCGGCGCTTGGGGTGGGCCTTGAAGGATGAACCCGAAATTGGGCGGGAACCAGTGTTGGGGAAAAGGGCGGGGCTCTCAGGCTAACGAAGTAACGGAGCTGTTTCCCCCCAATCCTTTGAGTCCTGGGGGAGTTAGTCTAGGTTGAAGGCTAGCATCCCGCCGCTTCCTCCCTCCCATCTTTCCCCTGGGGTTTTTCAGGAGCGTTCGCCAATTGCCCCAAGAAGCATCTGTTATTTGTGTAATTTGGAAAACCCCGGTGTTCTGGAAGCCCTGAATCCCCTGCACGGTGGGGGTCGTCCGGCAGGCTGGAGACCCCCGACGCGCGCTGAGGACTGGGTTAGAACGTTCGGCCCCGCGAGGCCGGCGGGGCGGGGCCGCGGGCGCACCTGCCAGGCAACGCGGCGTTCGAGGCGCCTGCGCGCTGTGACGTGTCTTGACTCCCGCCTCACTCTGTGTTTACGTGGAGACGTAGATGGCGGTGGCGACCGCTGTACTCGTGTGGACGAGGACGATTCGCCAGTGATTGCAGCGACTGACTGGTTTTGTTCCGGGGGGGAGGCAGCTCCCGGCCGGGCCCTGCGGCCTGGGTCGCGGAGCTAGCCGTCCCACCTCGGTCTGAACCGATTTTTCCTTTCTACCCCCGACCCCCTCCCTGTTCTTTCCCTGCCTACCCCGCAGAAGCCATGGAGGACGAAGAAAGAAGGAGAAAGGTAGAAGCTGGCAGAGCGAAGGTAGGAGAGCCGGGGACCGCCGGGCCAGAGGTGGGAGGCGGTGGCCGGGAAAGGGTGGGAGGAGGCCTGGGGAACGAGTTTGCGGCAGCCGGGTGCCCTGCGCTCGGAGGGAGGTGCTGCAGGGTCTGGGTTTCCTCCCCTCCCTCCTGTCCCTTTTCCTAGGACGTGTAAAGCCCGGTGCTGCTACCTAGCTGACGAGACTTCGGTGGTGATTGAATGGTGTGGCTCTTTTCTCACGACTGCCCCAATAAAACACCTCTCTCTCTCTTTTCTTTAAACCGTATTGATAATTAGGTGTTAATTAATAGCCTTTAAACCTCCAGCCCTTCACTTTTAAAGGGACTTTTATGGGTGGTGCAGGCATTGTGTTTTCCAGGGCGGGGATTTAAAGCTTTCCTTTTATTCAGTGGAGAATTTGTGCGCTGATCATCAGCTTGTCTTCCTTAGGTGGCACGCTGGCACTGGAGGACGTGTGTGAGATTGGCCTGTGACAGCTGCCTCAGCAGTGGCCTGAGTGTGCCACAAGTGCCAGCTGTGAACTTGGCTTTAGGGGCGTTTTTAAAAGCGTGTCTTTGTACGTTCCTGTTTGGAGGTCTTTGTCATGGCAGTTGGTTTTGTATCCTGTGGATTGGAAGTTCTGAAGACGGAAAGATTCCACAGAACAAAGCTTTAGAATTCCTGCTTTAAATAATTTGTTTTACGTGTGTGTGTGTGTGTGTGTGTGTGTGTGTAGGTGTGTAGGTGTAGTGAGTTCCGATTTTATGTGTGTGTGCGTGTGTATATGTATGGAAATTGTAACGCAAACATTACAAAACTGTATTATGCATAGATATCCTTCTTGGGGCATCATGAAAAATTTATCGTAGACAAAATATAAATTGAATAGCATTTTTTTTAAAAAAATTACATATTTGAGCAGCTCTTTAGGCTTGCCTGAAAGGCCCCCTTACTCCCTACAATGAGTTACTTTTTATAGGTGATATTCTTTTTAGAGCTAATGGATAACAATCATACTTGAAACACAATTAACTGTTTTTTCCTCTCTTCCTTTCTTTCTTCATTCTTCCACATAAACAAAGGAAACCAGGTCAATGATTTCAGTAATCAATGAAAGAAAGGCCTTACTGCAGAGATGCAGTAGTAGATGTTCATCAGAAGTGTGTTAAAGGAATGTGTGTGTTAACCAGCTTCATATTTCTAAAATATAATTGACTTTTTTATAATCTCCCCCTTTTAATGTTAAGACTTAAATGCTTGTATGTAAACAGGTAGATTTTGTTTTTTACTCTAGAATATATAAATGAAGGAACATTGGCATTTTCAGAAGCCCAAAATTGCTTACAGTTGTGCAACCCAAGGGACTAAGCAAACACTCTACATCTAAGGAATTGAAAGTAATTTTGTGTACCTTTTCAAAAGCATGGAAGTTCTGGTTAGATGTCTTATTTGTTACCTAAGAATGTTTACTGCCTTCTACCAAATGTATCTTTCTTAAATGTATGTAAAGCAGTTCTAGTAAACGTAGTTAACTTTGAACAGTCACATTTCATAATAATTAAATTGCTTGCTGTAAGTAGATTTGGCAAAGTAGAAATTTGATTTCTTTATATATATATTTGTCTTTCAAAATCTACCTATGGGGTAAAAATCTTTTTAAGTTAATTTTTATTGTAGTTTATTTTCCTCTAGAAATGAGCCCAGTTTCCAGTAAGAGATCCTTGAGGCTTTTAAGGCAACATATGTTTGCTGCAACATTAGCTATCTGGTATAAAATACTTTACTGAGGTCATGATTCCTCAGCCATGTAAGTGCAATGGAATATTATACAATCATTAAAAGGATTAAGTCTGAGAGGGACATGGTAAATAGAGTGAAAACAACATTATCAGAAATAGTTTAGATGTTGCAGTGGTATACACCTGTAATCCCAGCTACTCAGGAGGCTGAGGCAAGATCCTGTCTGAGGGAGAAAAAAAAGGGAGGGGGAGCTTAGATTATAGCTCAAAGGTAGAGCACTACTGCCCTTTATCTCCACTACTGCGCAAACAAAACTAAACAAAATATGTAATTATTTCATTTGTATAAACATATGTGCTTTTAGAATGGGATTGAAAAACTATTATAAATATAGTTATTCATGGGCTAGGGGTGTAGCTCAATGGTAGAGCACAAGTTCCTAGGTTTAGTCCTCAACACCAAACAAAATTTATAAAGCAGTTCTACTAAACATAGTTAACTTTGAACAGACACATAATCAGCAAACTTAGATCAAGAGGTAGAAATAGAGAAATGGCAATAGTCTCTGCTTTCCAAAGTAGGAGAAACAGATGCTCCTGGGTAATAAGTACAGTGAGAGGTTAGATACAGTAGAATTTTGGATGTTACCCCCCCCCCAACATTTTGTTAAAATATTTAAAATGCTACTGACTCATTTTCTAGAATATTTTATAAGGAAAACTCTCAATCAATTAAATGCAACCTAGCATAGTGCTTTTCAAATAGTAGGTATTCAGTGTTTGGTTCTCTTCAGCTGTGCATGCTGGCAAGATGAGCTGGTCAAAAGAGCTGGCTGCAACATTAAAGTAAGGAAACAGCGAAGAAGAATCATGCAACACGTGGACATGAGTTTCTCAGGTGGAGGGTGGGCCTGCTCTGCCACCTCAAGGGTCTTCTTCCACGCTGGAAGGCAAGAGGGCAAGAGAGCGAGTGCACTTGGAACCCCTCTGTTTATTAGGGAAAAGACATTTGATAGAATGTTCCACCCAATAAGGCAGGGGATAGTGTTTCAGCAGGGGTTGCCCAATCCTGTTGGGTACCGCTCAAGCCCAGAGCTGAGGCTCTTCCTTGATGAGTGGGGGTAAAGGCCACTTGCTTGGTATAACACATGGTGTGGCGTATGTTGCCAGTCCAATATCCCCTTTACTTAAGGCTTTTGGAGGGTCTTAGCTCATGCACAGGGCGGTCCCTGACATTTGCTTCTTGAATGAATGAGCAGAATGACTGAGTAAGTTCTTAATGTGCAGTGTTACTAGCTAGGTTGGAATTTAATAAGAGTAATCCAGAATTTTTCTAATCAGAAGTCTCTTATTGCTGGTATCAGAAACCACCTAAAATGATCATTTCCCAAAATTTATTCAGAGACTTGGTTCTCCAAGTATCTCATTTGTTCATAAGACTTAAGTGTTAACATTTGATAACAGTTTTACAACGTACAACTTTTTAATCTTTTTTTGGTAATTGGTCTTCTGTTCCTTTCTCTCTAGATTTCTCTAAATTTCCTTTCTCAAGACCTTATAATAAATGATCATTTTAAAAATAGCTTCTCATGTATACAGTATAGTATCTAAATTTAAAAAAAGAATTTTTAGTTGTAAATGGACACAGTACCTTTATTTTATTTATTTATTTTTATGTGGTGCTAAGGATTGAAACTAGGGCTGCACATGTTGCTAGACAAGTGCTCCACCATTGAGCCACAACCCCAACCCCTACAATATAGAAGTGTACTTTGTAAAGTATTTTATATTAACAAAAATCTGCAGTAATAGGAGAATGAATTATTTTATGTAGCCATTAAAATAATTCTACAAACACTTTTCAAGTTGGGAAAATGTCCACAGATAATGTCAGGTTAAAAAAAAAAAAAGGTACGTTTAAGTATTTATATATGAAGACATCTGAAAAAGCATGCACCGAGATGTCAGTTGTGGTTATCTCTGGGTAGTGGGTTATAGGCTATTTTAATTTTTTTATACTTTATTTTACAAATTCTCTACAACATTATTCTTTTATGATCAGGCACAATGTTCAGGTATCATTTAAAAAACAAAGACATTACATGCAGTATGATAAACAGGTTAATGTTGTATGACTCTCCTACAGAACAAGAACATGAAATGCAAAATAACTAGGTCTCCTATATTAGTGTAGTCCTGGAACTCTAATTCTTACTCCAGTACCGCTTGCATTATGTAGTCAGAATTCTATATTATTGGACATTTATGGATTGCTTTTTTGTTTTTGTCATTCTTATCCATTTTCCTTGCTGTCAGTTTTTTGGTTTTTCCTATGAACTTGCTTGTCCAGCTTTGTATTTTCTCATTTGCCTCTTCCCCTAACTTGCTGCTTTAGATTTGTTGTAACAAAAAAACCCAGAAACTGAGGTTAATGGAATGATTTATAAGAATCAAGGGCTAATGGAACCTAGTAGAAAGGACTTCGAGGCAATTCAGTTTTTCTGATGCTTGGTAGTTCTTTGGTTTGCTGTTGGGTCCTCAGCTATCTCCTCAGTATTGATGTTGCAAGAAGCCTAATACTTGGAGATGTTAACTACATTATTAAATATTTTCAGAGCTGGGCTTGACCTCATTTACAAGTTACTGACAGAGATGGCACCACATAGGCTATCCTTGTAGTGAATCAACCAAACTATTTCAACTCCATTTTAAATGACTTCATTTTTTCCAAGTAAAATTATTTATGATTATATAAACAAAGTAGTCAATTATTAGTGAACAAAATTAAATAAAGGACAGTTGTGTAGTTAGAATGAAATTAGTCCTATAAATCACTTTTGCTATATTTTTAAAAAGTTCTTCAAATGTACTAGAATTCAGCAAAACCAAAGTATTATACCTCTATAGCATTTTATATAATTGTCATTATTTAGTGAATAATTAAAATTCTTACTACATTCAATAACTTGGAATTATATGAATTTTTTTTGTTTGTTTAACAAGCATTTTTAGTTTGTAGAGTAATGCCAGTGTTGTGTACAATGTTCTGTGTAAGCTCTCTTATTAGGTTATTGATAGGATTTTTCAATTACTGTGCTGCTGTGATAGGCAAGCTAGTTATAGTATAAAATTGTTCCTTGCATTTTCAGATATTCTGATCCACAGTGAAGAAAGCTATTCTCCCTCTCTGATTTCTTTTAAACTTTATAGTTTTTTATACTTGTGACAGGTCTTACTTAATTTTCAAAGTTACATTTAATAACA